ACATTAGGCATTATAAAAGTATCGAGCTCACAAAGATTTTCTGATTTATAGAAGTCTATATTATACAGAGATAAAGTAATAAATTTCAAAACTATATCGCGTATGTCCTTAAGAACGTGTATTTATTTGTTTATATGCCACTCTGGAAATTCATAATTACTGGAAAAACAAATTTCAAAAAAAAAAAAATGTTAATTATTATAACTGCTAGCCGGAAATGATTATGGATTATTAAGTTTAATGTGCGTTGTAATAAATGTAAAGTACATAGAACAATTTTATATATACACTGAATAAAATAACTAGTTAAAGTCACTAAGAAGACTAGTAAAGAAGAAGGTATGGTTTCCATGTAAATTTTGCCCTGTGATTTTCTAAAAAATGAAACTGGTGTAAAAGTTGAAAACTCATGTTTTTTAAATAATTGAAATTCAACGCAGAAAAATAATACAAATCATTTCTCTCACATGTGCTTTTAAATGCTAATTATGAAGTCATAAACATGTGCATTTTCCCGTATTTTGTTAAAAAATTGCAGAAGACACCAATTTTCAATGGAATTTTCTTATAGATAACATTGTCCACAGGCATCGCCCACAAAGATCTTGAGATATGTGATTTGTTTTGAATTTTGCACAAAATATCAAAAAACTAACGTGGGCGACGGCTGTGGACACTGTTTTCAAAAGGAAAATAACCCTTCAAATGTGCCATTTTGAGACTTTCTCTGTTGAAAATAGAGATTTACTTCACATTAATGACGTCATATTTGCAGAATGGTAAACCTTCATGCCATATTCTTTCCTGATTTATCAGAGTCAATTATTTAACTAATATTTAAGCCAGTTTCAAAACTTTTTGATGCCATTACATTTTTAGGGCACAATAAAGCTAAAACCATACCTTCTTCTTTACTGTCCATACAAAATCACTACCTTTAAAAGTAGTTTTACTAGGTATTGGGTGGATTTAGTAGATAAGATTAGTAAATCTAGAATTTAAAAGTAACTTTCACTATGTATCTAATTATCTATAGGACCCTTCTCCACTTCTAACTATCTTAGCCAGTAAATTGAAAGTTTACTAATCACGACAAACGCTTTTCGAGGCACACTACTTAAATTAACCTGTTATTTCTTTCAGTGTATAAGGGGAAAATATTTTCTATATTTTCCCGAATTTTTTTTCCTTTAACAAATCAATAAAATCATTTATCATTTACAAATTTTTTTTATGAAATCATGCATAAGAGATTCAGCAGTTCATACTGTCAGTGGGTCAAAACACCAAAAATAATGAAAAATGAGTGAAAAAGTTGTTTCATAACATTGAAAAGCTGTTTTAAAAAATTAAAAAAAAATCCATCCCCTGAAACATGCGTTTTCAATTTCCACATCTTTTCCTTCCATTTAATTTTATGAAACACAATGTAAATGGCAACATATGTAATTCTTTTAATCATTTTAACTGGCACATTTACACCATACTCTTTTTCTGTCAATAATGCGTAAATTGCAATCCATCAAGACTTCCTGTATCTTAACCCCTGTGTCACATTGATCATGCCTTTTTTTTTTAAACTATAATTTCCAAATATTTAATCTTTTTAAATATATCTTAATTCGCTCATTTTGAAAGAAAATTTATCTTTCTGCAAAGTAAATTAAAACAGATGCAAAAAATGACAGTATATGTATCAAAACATGTTCTCTGCATTTGATATGTTGCGTTGGATACTATGGGTTATATGTAGTTTAAATTGGACAAAATGTACCTCGTTCTATGCTTACATTGCATGTTATATGTACTAAGCTTTATTCAAATTGATATGTTACAAATCCATTCGACTTAATGATAATAACAATGTGCAAATTTATTATATGGTTCTTATACATATCCCGGTCTGTGTATTCTTTTAAAGTCATCTTATAAATGGAATCCATCTGAATTTTTCAATTGTTCTGGGACATCAATATTATATATTGCATTGCTCTTAACAAATGACAAAAAATATTTTTTTTTTTTAAAAAAGAAGAAGATTGAATCATCAATGATATTAGTGATGCAGTGGTTAGAGTGTTTGCTTTAGAGTCACGGAGTAAGGAGTTGATCCTTACATCGCTGATTCGAATCCCATTGTATGACGTTGAGACCGGTCCTTCGGATGAGAGCGTATAAATCGAGGTTCCTTGTCGCAGTAGGTCCTGGTACGAAAAAGATCCTTCACTGCGCAATGACCGTAAGTGCCGAGTTTAGGACAAAATATACCTTTCCAACGGCAAGTGGTGGCGAAAGGGACGTTAAATAACATATACAAACAAACAAACAAAATGTTCTCACCATCTCTATGATCCTATGATTGCATCATAGATTTTCATTATTTTAAGTGAAAAGTTTCCTCCATTCTGTCAAGTCTATGACATTGTCAACATCTCTTTGATGAGGAAAAGACAAGTCCAAAATTGATTTCTTTTTACCAGTATTAAATGTCGCAGTTCTAGCAGACTTACATTGTTATTTGATGAATGAGTTCTGTCAATGGATAACAGTGCAAGTCTTAAGGGTTGCGACAGGTAAATACTGGTAAGAAGAAATAGTTGTCACAATTCTTAATAAATCCTGTTTTGCAGACATATGCATTAATTATGATACTGATATGCAAATACAGATCTTTAATATTTATATTTCAATAAGGATGGCAATCGATTACAGAATTGCAAATGATTAACCGAAAAACGTTCCGACCGATTGATAAGTTAATTTCGACTTGACCTTTTTAAACTCAACTCAAATTAGCTCGACAATAAAGATGCCATGAAGTAATATTATGTTTATTATTTGATCTGAACTCCATTATGTTGTATTTCAATTTTAATAGACAAAAAGGAATTATAAGGGAGCTCAGGAAACATATCTGATATTTCTATTTTATTTTTAAAATTACATATATATCCATAATGTTTCATAATGTGTTTCTCGAAACACTGTAGATTTCTTGGAAGCTGGATAAAATCTAATATAATATTCGGCAAATGAGGGTAATTTTAAAAGCAAAGCCAGTGAAAGTATTTTTTTTCTGATTGGTCCTAAGTGCATCTTAGTACCAGTTGTAACGTACTGCGATAATAGTACTAGCTGTACCATCTCGCAACCAAATAATCAGGTGAATAAGACAGGAAATGAAGATTTAAACTAAAAATTGCCTTTCTCTCATCAGATACCCTATTTTTTTTTCTTTGATTTAGACTGGATAAAAATAGACAAAAATCATAATTATTATGACTTATAGGAATGGCACGTAAACAGTTCAATATAATTTAATCCCCCTTTTCCCTTTGCCGATTTCATTAGATTTTGGACCTTATATCTGACAACATGAAGACTAAGTCATATCTGTCTCTGGCAGCAATTGTATTCCTTATTGCAATCCAGCTGATTTTTGGTAAGTATTATGTGAATAATAACTAATATTAATTACTTTTGTTGAAAAAGAGCTGCGATGGATTGTATTGTTCTGCAGCCTACCTTAAAGAATGCCAAAGCAAAATTAAATTGCATGCATAGATCTTTCAGACATTTCTATTACGTTATGGTTTTAGCATCGAAAGGCCGATAAAAAAAAATCTTGTTTTATATAATTTTTTTTGGGAGGGGGGGGGCATTTTTTCATGGAAGAAATGTTTTATTTGCAAATAAATTGGTTTAAAGTTTGGAAAAAAAATTGCATGCTGTGAAGGAATGCATCATATGAATACTAGTATCTAATAAAATGTGTAAAGAAATGCCAGGTAAAAAAAATTAAAATGTCTTCCATCCTTTCTTTTTTATGTCATCATTAACAGCAAATGTTACACCATAAAGCACTTTATTTGCATATCATTTTCCCCCCCTTTTTCTGTAAAAAAATGCAAAAGAAATCTTATAAAAATAATTAAGGGCTAATTTTGGTCATTTAATAATGAAACTTTGGTGTAAAAGAGATGTCTTAAAGATCTATAAAATAAAATTCTGGTGCAGCATTCCTCCTAAGTCAATTTTAAAAAGTAGATATATTTTAATGAAATCTTATATTTAAAGATATTCTTAGTAATCTTTTTTTTTTAAATTGAGTCCCCTTCTCTTATCGGCAACTCCTCTTATACTAATTAATGAAATTAAATGAGACTTTCACAGAATGTTTGTAACATTGTGACCTCTTGTTTTAATTTTTGATCGGACACATATTTTGGTTTTCCATTGCAAAACATGCACACTACAATTCTTTTTCTAATACATTTGTATTGAAGGATATCCATCTTTTATTCCACCTATACCACTGAATAAAAATTTAATGAGAAATTCAATGGACTTTACCATTATAAACATATCTGAGGCGGCGTATCATTTTGTGAGCTGAGTGCTCACAGTACCTTAGTTTCACAATGAAATAATTACTAAAGATAACAAACGGTAATCAAACTGATAAATGAATGCCAAAGTCTTTGTTGCTTTTTTCGGAGGTTGGGGGATATCATAAATATAGACCCTTATAAACAAAAGCGTATACCGTGTTTACATATGAAAGAAAGCATTGCCATTACAAAATGAAAAAAAACTTTGTTGACCAATTGAAAACAACAGTCAAAACCAAAACTTTATTTTAAAAAAATAATATAGAGACTCATTAACTAAATATTAAAAAGTTTTTTGATCAAAGGGGCGTCAAGAGTGCATTGAAATGTCTCCAAAGAATGCATTTAAGTATCATCATATTATGTAGTATGAGCGAGTATAGGAAAAAATCAGCATAAAAGCTAGTAAATACAAATATCAGACCATTACTCGAATATTAAAGCAGTTGGGACATTCCATAAAATTCTATAAAGACAAAAAGTCTCTCTACCCAAATCCTCAACAAAAATAAAAATTGAAAATTAAATTTTGTAAATTTGACGAAGAAATGTTGGTAAGTGTACAGAAAAAAATGTTAATAAAAGTGCAGATTTTAATTGCTTTTGTAGGGATACGTTGTACCAACTGGAACAAAATTGCAAGGGATTCGCTTAAAAAAGCTTTAAAATTAAAACCAAACACAAAGATTGCAAAAAATGTCATCGTATTTGTCGGAGATGGCATGGGTTTTTCCACCACCAATGCTGCTAGAATATACAAAGGACAGAAACAAGGCAATCCAGGAGAAGAAACAATTCTGGAATTCGAAAAATTTCCCTATGTGGCTCTGTCTAAAGTAAGTTATCCTTCACCTTTATGTAAATGATAAATGGAGATAATAAACATAAATAAAGATCAAAAGTACACATACAAATCAGAAGGTCAGGAAAGTTAACACAGACCTCTGAAACATCAGATTTGTGATCATATGCCGTGAGGTACGAAGTATCCCCTGTCAAACCCGCCATGTGCTCCTTGACATGATCAGGAAAACAAAAAACCCTTATACAATAATAGCCCATCAATTGGTATAAAAATGCCGATTAGCACTCAACTTGATAATACATGTAGATTGTATTTGTTGATAAGGTCATTGTATCGACCATAAAACTTGCAAAGTTTTAACTTTAAACCAGACTGTTACTGTCGAAATTACCTTCTTGTTTTCTATTTTCGTACTGTGTTATTTTCAACACTGGACATAACGGAGATAGATGGTCAATATTTGGAATGGTTTTCATTGAATTGAGTATATTGAGTTTTATTTTTTCTCTATCAATTGTAGGTGTACGGCACAGACAGGCAAGTACCCGAGTCTGCACAGACGGCTACAGCCTTGTTTGGCGGGGAGAAGACAAACTTTAACCTTGTAGGATTGAAGGATTCCGTGGCCACCTCAGATTGCTTTGCACAGAAAATGCAGGGGGAGGCTGCAGAAGTGACTTCTATCATAAGGCACGCCATAGAGCAAGGTATAAACAAACAATGACTATTTCTTCAATATTGTCATGTTCAAAGTACAGCGACCTCCTTCTTGCCTTGACCTGAAAATCACTAATTAATTCCACCGCACACTTCTCTGCAGGTAAATCTACAGGTGTGGTTTCAACTGCGAGGATCACACACGCTACACCTGCAGCAACATACGCCCACGCGGCAAATCGCAACTGGGAATCGGATGCAGACATTAACTCCACCTTTAAGGGTGTCTGCAAAGACATTGCACTGCAACTAATCCAAGAAAACCATGATATACAGGTATGGTGGATTTAAAATTGATTATTCTTTTTAAGGAAGAGGTTTTGCAGCTAGTGGAGCTACATTTATTTCAAAATGAAAGTGCAACAAAACAATTACTAAGTATTTTTCAAAAACAGTTTATGCTTGTAATAGTAATCCTTTTGCATTTTGAGTAATTCAAGTGTAAAGAAGGATAAAATTTGAAATTAGCTGATGTATTTTAATATGGAGAGTGTGCCCTTAATCTTCAAAGACAATGAAGTGATGATAAAGAAAATTACTTTTGCTTTCTCAGATGGACGAAATACGTTCATATGAAGTTTTTTTTTTCTTCTCTATCATGGGCTCACATAATGTTCAGAATACTTTATTTTAAATTATGAGATACAATGCAGATTACAATTTATTCTATTTATGTCAAATGCTAGGTCTGTTGAACAAAACAAATCTACCTTGACATCAAGATACAGTGTAGAGAGGGTCCCTAAAGATTGTGACTGTATTTAAAAATGTTATTTGTTCTCTTTTTTACCCAAATATGGGGAGAATATTTACGACTCAATAATTATTGAAATCGTGCGTAAAGCGAATTTTAAGATCGCTAATCGTTTTCTTGCTTTAAGGTACTCACCAACTAGGTTATACTGATTTAACTGTACTATTTACATATATGTGCAACGTCTTTTCAGGTGGTTCTTGGAGGGGGACGAAGAGCTTTCCTCCCGGTTACCGAACCCGATCCTGAAACTAATGCATTGGGTGTGAATGAGCGGTTGGATGGCCGTAATCTTCCTGAGACATGGGAAGCAATTCAACAAGGAAAGAACAAAAACTACAAATATGTCTGGAGAAAGCAAGATTTCGACGCCGTGGACGAAAATAATATTGACTTTTTGCTTGGTAAATAAAGAGCTCAATTAAATGATGTTGATTATTTATTGTGTACATGTAATTAGAGACATGAATTACATAGCATTTGTTCTTACCAGAGTTGTATAATACATTGAACTTGCAGGTCTTTTCAATCCTGCTCACATGGAATATGAACTCGAGCGAGACACTACCGGTAACGGAGAACCGTCTCTCAAGGAAATGACGTCAAAAGCTATAAAAATTTTGCGACGGAACAAGAAAGGATTTGTGCTGGTTGTAGAGGGTAAATTATAGCTATTATTCCTTTCTGCAAAAGTCTTAATTACCTTTTCTGATAAATTTAATTTTTTTTACTTACGTTTAATATCATGAATAGAATTCATATTTTAAATTGAGATATTAAAAGGTAATGTTTATGTTAATGATGCAGGATTGCCTCTGAAAAAGAATCGAAAACTTTTTTTGTAATAAATTTTATTGCATTCACATCTCCTCAGGTGGTCGGATAGACCACGCCCATCATGATAACAAGGCCAAGAAAGCATTAGAAGAGGCTGTACAGTTTGATGAGGCAATAAAAGAGGCGGTTTCTTTGACCAATCAGAAGAAAACTCTCATTGTCGTCACAGCTGACCACTCCCATCCGTTTTCTCTGACTGGTTATACTGGTAGAGGAAATGATATTTTAGGTATGAAAAAATCCTCTATGATTTGCATTTTGTTATATTGTTAGTATACGCATTGAGATGACAATTCTGTTCGTTGTTCGTAAACTCTTCACATTGTTCACTCTTCCAGAGCAACAAGAACTAATGTAATAATGGTTATTCTTGCTACTAAGTACCTATAAATAATGAGAATTATTTTCTCTTTTTTGTTTCTGGGTTTCTGAGTGAGCTATAAAAAGAATTATTTAAAAATCTTCTGTTTAAGAACAAATACATGTAAGGCTAATACAAAATATAACAATTCAATTTTCAGACACTTAGTCATTTGTGCAGAATCTGATTTATTCAAAGCAAGCCCCTTAGACAGGGACAGCATATCATAGAAAATCGAGTATTTTTAATTTTACATGAAAAAAACCCTTTCCCCCATAATATAGGTTCTATTTGCTTTTTAAAATGAATTTTACTTTATCTTTACAATTTTTTCTTTTGTCGTAATTTTTTCTGTACTTGTGCACAAACTTTAAAGATATTCCAAATTTATCACAAATTAAAATCTATAGGAACCTAAATGTAATAAGAAAATATCCTTTTCTTGAGTATTTATTACAAGACATACTAATAATAATACTAATATTAATTTATATTTGATCTTATTTAGAGCAGGAAAGAATTTGCTTAAAACTATTATACCCCCATTTATTTCCTGGAACAATGTTTTACATTGAAATATGTGAACATTACATATTGAGAAAAAAAGTAGTCAAGCTCCCAAACACGGACATCTAATTCATTTGAGGATGGATCAGGTCCAGTGAAGGAGTGAGCATCCTTTTTCGACCGGTCACATCCGCCGTGTGTTCCTTGTCATGATCGGGAAATATGTAAAAGTCCGAAGACAACTCTTTGTTTAAATAAAGGCCTAACAATTAATATGAAAAAGGCAATATCTGACTTAATGATAGATTGTATTTCCTGACAAGGCCATTGTATCGACCGTAGAGCATGCAAAGAGATGACTTTAAACAAGTCTTCTGATACACTTCTTTCATCAACTTGTTTGTCAAAGCTTATCTTGTTTTATAATTTTTCGAACGAAAGCATGCTTGAGTATTGAATCAGCTGAGTGATATAAACCTCTTATGTAGGTGATAGGGGTATATTGCTACGTAAGTAAGGGAAATTGAAGTCATCACTTTTTTTTCATAAAGCTTTGTTTTTAGGTCGCCATTAACATCTTTTCCCAGTTAAATGTCCTAATATGAAAGAGATTTGTCAGACTCTGTGCTTTTTATAAACCCACTTGAAAAGTGGGAAGGTATATAGTGACTTGGGTGTCCTTCCTTCCGTCTGTCTGCACGACCGTCCGTCCGTCCGTCCGTCTATTACGCTTTGGGGTACCCAACTCTTATCCGCAAATCCTCCTATACCACTCAACAAAATTTAATGAGACTTTCACAGAATTTTTGTTACATAGTGCCATTATGTACCTCTTATTTTATTTTTTGATCGGACACACATTTCGAGTTTACCATAGGGAAACATTGACCTGCCTTTCTCTTTATAATATTTAAGAGTACCCATTTCTTATCCGCAAATCCTCCTATACCACTGAATAAAAATTAATGATGCTTTCACAGAGTCTTTGTTACATAATGCACTTATGCACCTTGTTTTACTTTTTGATCTAACACTTATTTGTTTCCCAGAGGAAAACATGCACTTTGCAATTGTAAACATATGTGAGGAACTGTATCATTTAGTGAGCTGATTGCTCATAGTATCTCTTGTTTATAATTATTTCAAGTTCACTGGGATATATCGAGTCGAAGTATGAATAAAAGTAACCGTTTCTATTGTTAATTGAGAATATGTCGTCGATATATCTAAATTTTGTGTTGAAAGCCACAACAAGTGTTTTCTTCTCATATATAAGTATTTCAATAAATTCTACTTAATATAAATACAAATTAGTAGGTCTTTGAATAGTGCACTTTTGCAATAAGCAATGCTTTTACAGTTGGGACCAAATTTTTTTTTTCCTAAATGTTCCTTGGAATTTTTAAATATTCACCTCAGATTTACACCAATTAAAGCAATATGAGCTGCAACTTTGATGTCAGAATTGTTTGTTGTAAAATTGTAAATAACTATTTCAATGAGAGAAAAAATAACGTTAATAAACGTCTGTCGTTCATATTTGCGATGGAAGAACTGTTTCTAAGCTTCGTTTGAATCAAAATTACATTATTGTCGTCCTGTACAATAATGATTTCTTATGTAATTCTGTATATTGGATTCTGCTTTATTTTAGTCAAATTGATCATAAAGGTTTAAGTTAAATACAAATTTATCATTTTAACACATTTTAAGAGCAAAATATTTTTTTAAAATGCAGCTCATATTGCTTTAAGAAATATTATTTTAAATCATATATAACAATTGTGTTATAAATTATTGTATGTAAGTGTCCCATGACAAACAAAGCTAAACGGTGTCAAATTACCAAAATATCCTTTTGAAGTACTGAATGTTATCAGTAGATATCTTTACATTGTTGATTAAGATTAAGAATTTTCTCTCAATTTGAAAATAATTGATAACTTAAAAAAAGCACCTGTTCAATCTTTCTATTTAAGGCTTAGTAGATGAGGAAGGTATTAAAGCTGAACCCACTACAGATGGTCTGCCTTATACATCACTGTTATATGGGAATGGTCCTGGTTATACAAGCCCTCGACAAGATCTTACAGGAGTCAATACAGGTCCTCTCTCTCTCTCTCTCTCTCTCTCTCTCTCTCTCTTTCAAAATATAATGTTGTAAGAACCAAACATACCTTTCAAAAAAGCATGGAAGGAAGATAAATTTTAATATCATTGATTTCAGATGATAAAGACTTCAAGCAACAGTCTGCTGTACCGCAAGAGTTCGACACACACAGTGGAGAGGATGTCGGGATACATGCTCAGGGTCCAATGTCACATTTATTTCATGGCGTGCAGGAGCAGCATTATGTCGCCCACGTGGTCCAGTATGCCGCGTGTTTGGGTTACTATTCTAACAAATGTAACAAACGTTCTAGAGGCTAAAATGTTTCGTTCAAAACCAAAATATTTTCAGATTTTCAGTTGATAGAACAGAATCATGACAAAAGTAAGTGTCCGAATTTGTTCGGAGAAAATATTTTTGGGGAATAAAGAATTCTATGATTTTACTAAATTTGGTCTTTTAATTGAATAAGACGGTATTCACAAAAATGTTTAATTACATACGTGTTTACAAATTTACTTTCTTCAGTGTAGTTTAATTAAGGTTTTGCAAATATGTTGTCGATACTCCTCGAGAAATAACGGAATATCCGTCATCAATTCAGTGTATAAATAATGGACTAACAATTAGTATGAAAAACGTCAGTCAGCATTTGACACAATGATAAATTGTATTTACTGACAAGGTCATTGTATCGACCATAGAACTTACGAAATGATGCCTTTAAACGAGACTGCTGAAATTCTTGTTTCATCAACTTGTTTGTCATAAATTTACCTCGTTTTAGAAATTGCTCATACGTAGAGCATGCTCTTGCGTATTGAATCAACTTAGATATATTAACTCCGTATGCAGGTGATGAAGGTATATTGCTGCATAAGTAAGGGAAGTTGACGATAGAAAAGTTAAAGTCATCACGTTTATTATAGAGCTTGGTTGTAAGATTACCATTAACGTCTTTTTCAAGTAAAATATCCAAGTATAAAACAGATGTGTCAGACTCTGTGGTATCTTTTGTCTCAAGTTCACCAGGATATATCGATCGACATAAGAATGGAAATCACCACTGTTAATTGACGTCGTCGATATGTCTAAATGTTGGGTTGAAGGCCACAGCAAGTATTTTCTTCTTTTCATGCAGAAGATTTTGCACAAATTCTGCTTCATATGAATACAAAAATAGGTCTGCTAATAACCGAGCGCAATTGGTAACCATGGGAATTCCAATAGATTGTTGAAAGACCTGGTCTCCAAAAACCACATAGATATTGTCAATCAGAAACTGAAGCATCTTTTTGATGTCAACTTCAGAGTACTTGTGTGTGCAATCAGAATGTTTTTTAACATAAAAATTTTGCAAATGACCAAGTAAGTAAAGTACATGATAAAAATTATACATTAAGAGGTAGAATATCTCAAATATAGCAGTTTAAAGGAAGTGAGTTCAAATGATTTAGGTAAATTATTATAAGTAACCACCAAACATATAGCAAAAGATATTTGTATAATATAATTCAGATTTGATTGAATTGACTATAAAATGGTTCTGATTATTAAATCCTGTTCAGACAATTCAATTAATTAAAATCAATTAAGGAATAATTTCCTTGGAAAGTTCTCTCTTTTATCAGAGGGACATTACACCTTAATATCAATTTCAGAATAATTGTGTGTACAATCAGAATTTAATCTTGTTTATCAAAATAATTTTGCAAGTGAACAATAACAAACTCGAAAAAAATAATTGGCTGACTTTTAAAAATCAAGAAAATATGTGAATGAAAAATTTTATTCAGGGATTAAAAGGATCCCCGCTGCAGTTTCCGTAGTGAACAATGTGCAGTGAGCGATGTGTACACCTTGCTTTCTCAAACTCGCACCTGTAAAAACCATCATTAGTACAAAATTTTTCAACTGATTTTCTTCAATGCTGTTTATGTGAATGAATATACTACATGTTGTACATATTAGAGTTATAAGATTTATTTTGTTTATGATATCCAAGTATATACAATGCACATGGACTGAACAGCAGGTAAAAGAGGCCTGCATTAGTAAGATACGCTAATGAAAAGAGGCATTTTGTTTAGTATGCGTATATTCGTAAATAAGAATATGACGCTAATTCCTGTTTAACAAGGGCATCTTTTGAAATAAAAAATCTAAATATATACAATATATGTGAGTGATATTGGAAAAATATTTTGGTTTTTGTTAAGAGTCTGAACATTTTAAAATCTTTCAGGTTTTTTTTTAACATGAATGGTTTCTTTTAAAATAATAATTGTACTATTTACAAAACTTACGGGTTTTCGTATGTCATTGTGTTATTGCCACACACAGGGTTCGGCCCTCCATCACAGGGTTTGAACGCTAAATTTAAACAGAAGAAATCCAGGACAGCCTCGCTTCCTTGTAGTATGGGCGCCAGAGTGCTGGGCAGGGGACGGATGGTGGATGCACCGCCAGGGGGCGTTGTAGTGGTTGGGCATGCGGAGTGCGAGGCAAGGTGGATATTTTTGTCTTCGCAATGAGCTTTGGAGAAATCACACCTATAAAGCAACTTATGATGCAATAAGTGATGTATAACAACATCTATTAGTTTAAGCTATGAAACAGTTATACTAGTGTGTTTTTATTGAGTAAATTTTGTACTGAGTTTTTATTCCACATTTTTTAATGAATTTAAGACATTTATACATTAGTTGAACTGGAAATTTTACTATGAATCATTATACTCTCTTATAAAAAAAAAAGTAGGCAATATTACTTCAATCAATTTTATAGATAAATCATTCGATTTCTTATCAAATCTCTTTTGATTTTAACATATTTTTATTGTATGCATCAAAAAGGATCGGAAAAGAGGTAAGGATTATATATACATGTGTAGCTTAAATATGTTCTCTTCTGGCATGACAAGTCAAGATCCTGACGTAGACAATGAAAAATACTTGTATATGATATAATTATAATAAAATACTAGTTATCAAAAATAAAGAGTAACAATCAAGTATCACCCTACCTGTTTCTGTAGGTGACTACATTAGAGCCACATATTGGGTCATTACCATACTTATAACAATCCTCTCTAAGGATACTGGAACATGTGTTAAAATTGAAGAACTGAGCACTGCACACTGTATAAACAAATAGAAACAAATCACAATCATTTGTCATTTTTCCATATGTATATAATTCTTGCTTTCAAGTAATCATATCTTTGAATAATTATAAACAATAAACGGGAAAACTCCCACTTAAATGTATACAAACCTGAAAAAAGTAAAATCGGTGCCAGAAACTTCAAAAGAGCCATATTGAAGACAAACTATATTACTTAACAGACCAGAGGAAGGAAAGAAAGATAAGACCCACGTGTGTCACGAAAAGTGGATCACGAAATATTACGATAACATGATAATGGCTGTGTAGTGTTTAATACCCGACTGCTTATACGAGAAGTACCGTTAAAAGAAAATTTTCATAGATCACTTAATTAACTACAAGTAAAAGAAACAACTTTTAAAATGGCTGAAGTAATTTGATACATTTGACACAAGGTAAAGTGCATTAGCAAAGATGTACAATGTACTAGTATTTCGTTTACATTAATTGAAAGCTTAGGTGTCATAAATTTTTTTCCACTTGAAAATTAATCACGAAAAATCTCTGGGTATGTATAATTTGGGTGGGTGGGGGTCCTGTTACCAAGTATATTTATTTTATCAAAATAAACTCTTCAAAAAGAAACGCATAGTAGGAACAATGCCCTGAAAAATATATGATAGTTTTTCCTAACCTTTTATTTTTTGATGGATATGATGTATCCAAGTGAAATGCGTGATTTTTTTAAGGCAATTGTTAACTTTACAGCTATTCTACAAGTCTCAAAGACAAAAAGACCCGATTTTGCAAAATTTCCCCCAAAAATTCGATCTTAATTTTCATTTGCTGAATTCTGATGCAATTCCTTCAGGTACAAAGGGGCTATCAAAAGCGGGGGTTCTCGATTTTTTTAATCTGGATTTATCTGAAAATTGACGCTTTCTAAAAATGCTGCATCTGAATGTTGCATAGCACAAAAAGGAAAATGGCGACGGGAAGCAGGGGTACCACAATATACAATTGCAAGAGGTTTTAATGTTACGCACAGCGCCATATCTAACCTATAAAACATAAACTATTAACATCGAACACCCAATGTTCGCAAAAAATACGGAAGACTACGTGTGACATCAGCAGCACAGCATCACCTAAGAGGATTACGTAAATTGCATGAATGTAATGCAATGACGTCATCTAGAACATAAGCTTTCTCAGAACTGCACAGATCATCTAACAAGACCGTTTTCAGCTGACTGCGAATTATTGCAAGAGGATTATTCATACCATTATTTCAACCCCACAACACCCCAAATATCGACTTCAAAGATTTCAGGTCAATAGAGTATGACCACAGCATCACCACTGAACATTTCGTTTAGCAACTAGTCCAGAATGTTTATCTGAAAGCCTCTTATAAGTTTGATGGTGCTAATGCTTTGTAATGAATGTTAGACAGATAACTGCCTCCAGGACGTTAAAAAAGTTGGTGGTGGTAGTGTAATGATATGAATATTGATATTATAAGAAAGCAATATTGATCTGGTTCGAATTCATTGGACTTTGATGGAAAAAGGTTCTTTAACCATGTTCTGCCTAGACACGCCTATTTCAATTTTGCAGCATCCTAGAGCAGTATTGCAATCTCACAATAAACAGCCACATATGGCTCGTTTGACACTCCCATTCTTGCAAAGCAGCAGCAACCTGTTTTTGCTACAGTCATCTGAATCGCTATAGATTTAAGCCAAATTAAGCAGCATTGGACAAAATGGCTTAACATGATTTGCTAAAGATAATTGCATCCCCAGACTCTGCAACAGATGAACAAAACTCTGCATTTGGAGTGGGAGAGTATTCCTATACACACTGGATGAAAAGTCTAGTTTCCGCAAAACTGAAACTATGCGGAAACCTTGCTGAAACTTGGCGTTGAAGTTTCCTGTATGGTTTCCGCAATGCGGAAACTATATAATAGTTTCAGCAAGTTTCAGTAGGGTTTCCGAATACTGAAACCATTAGGTTTGTTTCCTATTAGTTTCCGCAAAACGGAAACCAATGTAAAATTTAATGAAACGTCAATTTAACGATACGTTTTAGTTTCAGTAGGTTTCAGTTTCCGGAAACTATTAATTTCGATTCCATATGGTTTCCGCATGCTGAAACCGTACTGAAACTATTTCTATTTTTTTTTTCAAAAGGGTAGAAAAATCAACTCATATGAATATGATCTTTTTACTATTGATTTCGATTCCATATGGTTTCCGCATGCTGAAACCGTACTGAAACTTTTTCTCTATAATTTTTTTTCAAAAGGGTAGAAAAATCAACTCATATCATCCTTATATTTATTTACACATTTAAAAAAATTGTTTTATTTTTAAATATCTATAATAGTTCATATTCAGATTTTGAGATGTGCCTGCTCTGTGTAAACTTACACATACCGATATTGATATCATTGATAAGCATATTATAGAAGATCCTTGCTTCATATTAAATGTATAAAAATTGTTTATTTCATATTGTGTCGGAATTCAAAAATATTATTAAAAAAAAAAATCGATTACTCTCACAAGGATTTTCTACATTACCCAACTCAATACTCGGGAACTGATTATTTTGAAAACATACATCATTTTCACAAAACTACGATTACGTTTAATGTAAAGTTGTTTAAAAAGAAAATTAGTGTGTCTTCATGGTGCATGAAATACAGATAATTACGAGAGTGAACATAATCTGAGATAGAAAGGTTTGCATTTATATTCTTTATACATGTTTCTATATATATATTCCTTAATGGATATCATTTCAACTAGAGGTACTGTGAGCGATGAGCTCACTAAATGATACCCCCCGCCTCCCATATGGTTATAACTGGTGAAAAAGTCCATGTTTTCCTGTGGCCGGGAAACCAAAATATGTGTCGGATCAAAAAGTAAAATAGGAGGTGCACAATGGCAATATGTAATAAAGATTCTGTGAAAGTTTCATCAAATTTCATTCAGTGGTATGAGAGGAGTTGCGGATAAGAGATGGGTACCCCAAAGCGTAACAGACGGACGGACAGACGGACGGACGGACGGAATTAACGATTACTATATACCCTCCCGCTTTTCAAGCGGGGGGTATAATAATTTCAATTTGTTAATTAACAATACATATTGACTAGGAAGCCTTTTTTACTATTCATATATATATAGTTCAATAGTTACATGTACTAGTTATTTAATAATAACATTGATTTAATATCTACATATATGTATTTTTATTTCCGTCTTCGTGAAAACATTTTATTCGTAAGCCGCGGTTTTACAGCATTAAAAATATTACAAGAAAACATGTCCTGAAAATTTGATGTCATGGTTCCCAGGATTTGCAGCATTTTATGTCAATCTAATTAAAATTAAATCTTCCATTTGTTCCCCAAATGTTTATTTATACGAGGAACTCTTATATGTAAAAAGTCTGCTTTTGTGAAACAATACCCTGGGAGCGAATGGAAAATCTCAAAATTTTAATTAGATTGTATATTATGTGTTTTAGTAATATGTTGAATTATATTCGTATTGAGATGGATAATGTGCTAAATGTGTGATTTAGAACTTAGTGTTTTTAAAATAAATTTAAAGTACTCTGTAAGTTGATCAAATTTTCAATTCTTTACGTTGAACCCCACTCGCGGGCACCTGTCCTCGCGTGCCACAGGTGGGGAGACACGTGTCGCGAAGACACCTGCTACCGTGTTGGTGTATTTTTTGTATATTCTATGTAGATTGAGAGGTTTTTCTACCTTAGAGGAACAATGGACTGTGACCAGGCGTAATATATACACGCAGTACATGGTATACACAACTAGCCTTTTCTAATGACACCAAGGTTTCTGAACATTCAAAATTAAAAATAAATCACACTATATAAAACTTCACCTAAAATCAAACATGTCATATGTATAATGTGTTATGTAAAATATTTCATAGAATGTTTCATATTTAGCATAAGAAGTTTTTATTTTATGTGTTGGTGATTAAAAGAAAATAGACAAACCTCTTAAATATTTATCTATCAATTTGATATAAAAAAAATTAATCTATTGGTAAGGAGAATATTTGCTATAGCTAGTTCAATAGACTATTTCAAAAATTTCAATATTATTTTTCTCCACAAAAAAAAAAAAAATCAGCAATCACAAAAAGAAATCGACAATTAATGGTATTCCTTGTTTGCCACCATTGTAAACTTCAAATATTGAAAATATTTAGAGGTGAATAAAACGCAACCTAATGAAAACTAAGTCTATCTTATTTCATAACTTTTTTTTCTATAGGTTATTTCTAAGTACATTATATTAAAACAACGTTTTATTTCTAATTTAGAGTCCAAAACAGAAAAGTGTGAGATTATTACAATAATAAGGAAAAGATAAGTCAATCAATAGCAAAACAATTATTAAAAGCAATTAATAATCCTGTATTATAAAGGAATAAAGAAGAATTTACATATGACATGTGTAAAGGACTATGACCACTTCTTAACATGATATCATTTATATAAATTTGCCTGCAAAATTAAGAGTTTCCGTATCTTCTGCATTGAGTGACCAATATTTTTTTGGTTCATCATTTAAAGCTGAGAAGTATGGAGATTTACTATTAATAAACTGAAATTTTTTTCTTTTTTTGGGGGGGGGGGGGACATGTTTGACGATCATATTTTTTTTTACATGACAATTTTATAAAAACAAAATGAATTTTACATCTACATAATCGATCTTCAGGAGAAATATTGGTAAATCTCCCCACTTCAATTTGTAAGCTGTGACAGGAAATTCCTAGATAACAAATAGACTTGTACATTCATGTTGATATTTTCTGAGTAGAAAATTTTCAACAATTGATGAATAATTCTTATAACCCCAATTTTGCTTTTGAGTTGCACATATGTGGTTAATATGCCATCAGCATAACTTTAATGACTTGTATACCATTTTTTTTTTTTTTTTTTTACACAATAATCGAAGTACATGTGTACATGTGACTTTAAATCATTCTATTTGAAAACATTAGGACAGTCGGAGTCCGTTTCAACAATTACCATAATCATGTAATAAAGGTCTAAAATTCGCTTTTTATCCCCTTCGATTCCATGATCATTCTTATTTTATCATTCAAAACTGTTCATTCTGTTGCCATATATAATTATATATACAAGGACATTTGCATTTAAAACGTAAAAAACTAGAGGTACTGTGAGCGATGGGCTCACTAAATGATACCCCCCGCCTCCCCTATGGTTATAAGTGGTGAAAAAGTCCATGTTTTCCTGTGGCCGGGAAACCCAAAATATGTGTCGGATCAAAAAGTAAAATAGGAGGTGCACAATGGCAATATGTAATAAAGATTCTGTGAAAGTTTCATCAAATTTCATTCAGTGGTATTAGAGGAGTTACGGATAAGAGATGGGTACCCCAAAGCGTAACAGACGGACGGACAGACAGACAGACGGACGGACGGACGGACGGACGTACAGACGGACGGACGGACGGACGGACGGAATTAACGATTACTATATACCCTCCCGCTTTTCAAGCGGGGGGTATAAAAATTGCCAAAAGAGAAATGCAAAATTTCCGTAAAGAATTTGAATCACTAGGTGGCGTATCGCGGCAGAATGCTTCTCTCCCATTGGTTAGATTTTCAGAGAAGAAAGAAAGACAAAATGGCGAAGAAAACACCAAGAATTTGCTCAAGAAAAATAACAGAGATGAGAAGATCTTTTGAATCTACACTGAAGAAAGGCACCCCAAACGGCAGATTAGATACAGGTAGTTATTTGTTACAGTTCAGAGCACCTTTATTTTTGTTTTTATCGTCTGAAATCGTAAGAATAATGTTGACCTAAAATGGCGCGTTCCAAAAATTCAAAATGACCATTGTTCATTTGTAATTATTGTGAAAAAGCGCCTTGTAAATCATTCTCAGCTTAGGTTGTTATACAGATAATTAACTGCTGTTTAAACGCATGCATGTATTTTGCACCATTGTATTTATCTTTCATGTTTTTCGTATGAATATTAGAATATGCTATTGTATTTTCTCCCGATCATGTAAAATTTACATAATTTAAAAATTACAACGTGGTGTAGTATTCCGGAATTTTAAATGTAGGTTGGTTTTAGAGGATAATATCGTTATGTACTTGTATCCGGTGTTAACTTTTTCATTTGGAAAATCGAAAGATTTGACCCCACGCTTATGTTTTTTCAGAAAAGGTGAGCTTTATTGTTCATTATAGCTGCTGGATGTGTTCAATGTTATTCTCAGAAGTAGTTTCTTGAATCGTACATTTATTTTTTGCTGAATTGTTTTTATTATTGCTGGAAGACTGTGCTGCACAGCTGAGGAAGGGGGTTCAATATATTTTTAACATACATGCAATCTAGAATCGTAAATATTAGACATGTAAGAGGGCATCATGATGGGAGAATGCCATCGTGTAGTACTGTATCACTGTTAAATGCCAATTTGTACATGTTGTAGTCATGAAAGTAAAATTCCTGAGAACTTGCAGATTTTTGGGCTATGAAAGTGACTTGATAATTTTCATAATGCCGCACATTATTCAAGTTGAAGTATTTTATTTTCATATCATACATAAGGATTTTAAAGCAAATGTCGAAAGTGAATAAACTATTTATATATACAAAGATACATAAGCATCTTTTCGTACAAGGCATAATTATGATGAATTAAACTTAAAAAGATATTTATTTTTAATTAAATTTTAATTTCATGTTGACACATATGCATGTTTTGATCTATATGAAATAAATAAGACTATTTAAGCAACCTAAAACTTGATTTAGTGTGCATGGTTTAATATTTCATTAGAAATACTTATGTTATTTTTGTACCTTGGGCTTCAAATATTAAATGTGGTGCTGCACCGTGCAGTTTCTAAATATCAGAAATCACTTTTAAATCATATTAACCATAAACATGATTCTCTTGATATCATCAGAACAGCTATTGTTTACCTGTATATAAATTCTGCATTATGATAGACTGGAGCTTGATGAAATGAGCAATTGGCCATTTTCAATTTCTTAAGTTGCATGCATTGATATTATATAGTCATATACTAGTATTTGTTTGTTGCTCGTAGAAATTATGATATCCGTTTAGAGAACTTTTTATCCACGTGGATACATCACCAACACAGTCTCTGCTCAGGGGCCTTATGTGCCAGCGGGCACGAAGAGGACAGGTGGGTAGGTGGTAGGTGACAGTCTCTGCTCTCATCCGAGGGAGCGGTCTCTATGTACTACATTGGATTCAGACCCGTGATGTAAGAATCAGCACCTACTTCCCGACTTGAGGCGTGTCGCTCAAACCACTGGGCCACACTGTGTGACCCATTATGAAAATTTCACATAATAATACTTTTACGTCTATATGACTTCTAAATTTTATTGACTTGATAAAATGACTGATATACAAATAAGATTTTTGTAATCTCTCTGTTTATAGCTGTTTACCATTTGCCATATTTCTATCACTAATTAAATCAATTTTCAACAATGGCCACTAAAGAGTCATGGTTCTGTCTTATTATATAAATAGTTACCTGCCCTTGATGCAAAATGGAATAAATAAAATAAAGAATTAAGGCAGGTCCACCCTTTTACGGATCCGGTTTTAATTTTACACACCGATATAAAATTTTGATTATCCTTGTCTATTAAAATAAAATCTTTTTGGATGATTGAAAATGATTTAGCAAGTATATATTTGTTTATTATAGTGTCATTGTGCACACAAAGCATTTAATGTACATTATTTATAGGAATAACCACTTTGCACTCTGTCCATAGAATCTATATGTAATTTTTTACATACACAGACAGAGAACTCTTAATTGCCGTTATGGACCTAAAGCTTTTAATATTTTTTAAACAAACTAACTTGAGATCTATTTATCTTCAATTTTTAGCCTATATCATCTTTCTAAATTTACTTTTTTATAATTTTTGCGAAGAACGATTGAAAAAAAAGATATTCCAAAAATGGGGGTATAGGTGTTCAAAAGGCTGTTTTGTAGAAATTTTCTGGTCAACCATAATAAAGTATGTTTTTCTGCTAACCTAAGATATAATTCTAAATAATTGTGAAGAAAAAATAGCATATAAACATAAAAGATTTTGAGAAATATTTAAAATAAAGATATTTTGAGCTTTTTCTCTGAAAGATTTTTACACAATCAACATCAATTTTTTAGTGTTTTCAAATAGAAGTTTCAAATATTTTCTTGACAAATGAATATTTATGATTTTCCTAAGTTTTAACAATAATTGGTTGTGATTTGGTACATAGCTAAATAAAATATGATGTTACACTTCTATATGTTGAATTTTGGCTGTTGAACTTTTAGAGGTATATACTCCGAGACATATTGCATGAAAATTAACCTGCAAAGATATGTTTTTTATTGGTATTTTAGTTAGATTATGACTTATTCAAGATTCTCAAATCAAAAAATAAACAGTTTGACAGAAAATTCTGAAAGTACGGACCTACCTTAAATGGATTATAATTTTGAATCAAAGAAGGCCTACATATCTTAAACAAACAATTCTTGCTTTTATGAAAAATTGTAACTGATTTAATTTTTCTCACTCTCAGATATAATTGCTTTTCAAGAACTTTTAAATTGTGGTTGTGATAGGACTGCCACTTAGAATTAGACCAGAGTGTGTCCATTTTAAAATGATACAGTTTTCCATAATTTTTTTTCTTTGTCATGTGTCTATTAGAATTTTAACTGAATGTCAGGTGCAAGGAAATGGACATGCAAGTGGTTTTTGGGACTTTTCTTAGCTCATGCTAAAAACAAAAAAAGTTATTAATGTACGGTACTGTACTAACTTGATCTATTTTAATTTCAGATATCCACTGAACAAATCATCTGAAAACTAAGGCTAATAGGAGAGGATGAGGAATACTGTACTTCTGTCAAAAGGTTTGTTTTAACAGTGAGTAAGAACTTAATATAATTTATGTAGCTCTATTTTAGGAAATTAAGGACTAAAGCATAAAGTTTATGTTTTTATTTTCTATTGTGTTGTTAATCTCACTGTGTAATGTTAAGCTCTCTATTTAGTATTTATCATCATTATCATAGTCAGTGTGTTGTGGGGTGGGGGGGGGTTACATGTAAGCTGCTTTCCTCTACTTTTTAAGTTTTATACAATATATTTATGTTTCCATGAAATAAACAGATGTTAACATTATCTTAGAAAGTCTCATTTTGCGAGCTACCTACTAAAATTGTATGATTTATTTAAGATAAGTATTATCAACATTTTCAGCTTCTCTGCAACCGCTCAACCAATCTCAACCAATTTTGGTGAAGGGGAACAAAATTTATAAATTTTAAACCCCCCTCCCCCCGCGGGCCCGAGGAGTGGGGCCAAAACCACTAAAATTCATGCAATTTTTGAAAATCCCCTTCTTATTTTCCCCTCCTGAACATCAAGCAGTCAAACTGTTGGTATGATTATAATCGGCATTGAGTCCTCTACCATAATTATGAAATTCATGACCCCAGTGTCAGGATTCTAGTATTTGGGTGGGTCTTATGGCTCTTTGGAATTAATCAAACCATTTAAGATGAAATAAAACCTATGAAAACATTTAGTAAATTTTGAAATGTGTGGCCCCAGGGTTAGTGGTTCCTTTGGGGTGGGGTACACAACTGGTGGTTATAAAATGGAATTGCATTGTATCTTTATTACTCTGATCTACCTTTGGGTATTAAGTAACCAAAGTAAGCATGTTAACTATGTGTATAATTACGATAAACAAAGGTGCGTCTTTCAAAATTGTGAATTTCATGGCTTTTTGTTTAAATTACGAACAAAATTCAATTGAGTGGAAGTTGTTAGGCCTAGAAAAAAAATATATTTGTTTCCCCTTTCACGCTGAAAAAATATAGGTAGATAGGTAAGTAATTATTTTTTTTGAAACTTTTTTTTTTGCTTCTTGAATCAAAAAGTGTATAGAAGTAACATTAATGACAAAAGAATTGGTGTTTTCAAGTATTTCTGTGACTTAAAAGAAAGATAACTCAAACTTCTTTCTGTCTTGAACATGTTGAAAAGCTTGCAAAGTTGGAGACTATAATTCCACGGGTGAAATCTTGCACTTCATGGGACAAAAGCATTAAAACAAAATTTAGGGTCGGCACTATAGATATATTAGGGTCGGTCCGGAACAAACATATTTTTTTTCTAGGCTTTACATGATACTCAGGTGACCTTTAAGGTCTGTGGGCCTCTAGTTGTTATTCAAATATCATGAATCATGGTCTAAGGGTCTAGGTTAGGGGTACAGAAAATATTTTGATGAACAAGTAAAATGAAGAAAAAAATCCTTAATTTACTTTGAAAATCTTATTAGAAACAAATCCATACATACATATTCAGTACATTTAAATACATTCAAGTTTGTTTATTTCATTATCCCTTGTCAAGTGTTTAAAAGAGGCAACTTTAATAAACTAATGAGATTTTACACTTGATAAATTTTTAGATTTTATTTTAAATCATTCTGATCAAAAATGCTGAAAATCTGAAATTAATCAAACAAAGGCTTGTGCTAGAACAGTTTTAGGAACTTTCAGTTTGTCAATCTTATTAAAATTAAATGTTAGATCTGCTCACATATTGGCTAAAATCTAATGGCATCCTGTAGAGTGTCACGTTAGACGTTAAATTCTATTAAACAATCAAATACTCGAATGCAAAAATTATTGTATTTAATTTATTGGAATGAATAAGTCTAGAGTCTGAGTTGTTCTGTATTTGACATTTGATGTGACCTTCTATGGATGCTGTTAGATGTTGTGTAGCGAGTATGCAAGAGGATCTAACATGTTGTTTTATTTAGATCGGGATTTTGTTAAACTATATTTTTATATATTTTCAATAGGTAGAAGTAACTGACGAGCGGGTCAATCCAACTTGAACTTGAAGTGCAAGTGGGTCTTCAAAAATGTGGACCACTCAAGGACTTTTCTGTTGGTTGATGATGGACTACAAACTGAATATTTAACAAAGAAATCCACTTTGGTGCTTATTGGCTACTAATGATGTGAACTTGTGCATTTATTATACCAAGCAAGTACTTTTACATTTCCTTGATGATACTAGACTTGCATATACCGAATTCAGGTTTAGTTGATTGATTGCAGTTCTAAGTTCCTCTCGCAAGATTATATCTCTCGTGTATGAGACATCATTAAATGCAGACATTTTCTCTGTCCTCCTGTTGTGACATGAGAGTTCGGACTTAGTTGTAAAAATATTTATGATGCAAGAGCAAATAAATGGCCAAGCCAATGTATGTAAATGTTGATAATAACATTAAATATTCTTTGATAACTACCGTAATTTACGGAATATAGGTCGATACTTTTTTTCTCAGAACCGCTGGGGTCGCCCAATATTCAGAATTCGACCAATTTAAGGCTCAAGTTTATGAAAAATGCCCCCAAATCAGGAAAATTTTCGTCAATTTCAAGGCAAATTTGTGCCACTTTCGTAACTTTTTTGATTATTTTTCGCAAAAAATTAATGACCCGGTAAAACAATAGAATATTTATTCTATAGCTTTCTTACAAAATAAATTCCATTAATTATCCGTTGATAACAAAGGAAAACAACATTGCTTCATCTATTAAATCATTCCTCAACGTATTATCTATTAACATCATACGGTATCCATCTTGTGAAGTTAGGAAGTCACGATCGTGTAGTAAAAGTAAAACCGCAACCGTATCAAAAATTAAAATACGGAAAAATTTCTTGATCACAACTGAAGTGTTTTTACCATTTATTAGTAGCGATAAATTGAAATAGTATATTAAATATTTTTTATTGTCTTGTGTTTATTTAAATGTAAATTGAGTGAAATAATTTGTTGCCATTCAATTCCTAAATTTAATTACAAAAAAAAAAACAAAACAAAAAAAAAACTGCTAGTCTTTACTGTTTTTTTTTTTTATTTTAACTAATTATAATACAAAGATTGGCTTCTAACAGAATTTTAAGTAATTGTCTGACAGATAAAGGGATTTACACTGTGTACGCAAAGGTGTGAACACCTGTGTTGGTTTAAATGCCTGCAGGGCATGATTAAGAAACCCACGTGCCATTATAGGGTATTAGTGTTACACATCATTGAACAAACAAAGCCGTGAAATTCATGTTGACAGTCAAATTAAGAATGTACTGTCAATTAAATTTAAAAATTAAACTTATAGAGTGTTAATATGATTTCAATTGTTTACTGTTGCTTGATATATACATTCAATGGTCATTTGCGTGTTTTAGCAAATCCCTGGAGAAAAAAAATAAAAATGGCGGACATCGAAGTAGTTGTCGTCTTCTGGTAAATAATGTCTGAATAAAATTGATAAGGAATGTGTCCAAGTTGTTCTGAAATCGGAATTACTATTCTTTGGTGTCGGGTATTTCCCGAATTATAGCTGTAAAATAATAACGTATTTACGTGTTATTTATGCCTCTGATTTAACAACAGTGTGAAACTACAGAGGCATTGAACAGGCAAGTTGGTGAAAAATAAGTAGTAACGCAATTCAAAGAAGTTTTAACTACATTTTTTAAAAAACTTTATTTAAATGCTGTACTCATTAAAATACCTGTTTATTTTCTTGATACGTTCATGCTACGGAATGACCCCAGTAATTTTAGGGGTTTAACCTGTTCTGATACGTTGTATCTGCGTAAGAATATTTAGAAAACGGGAAACAAAGCCTCGTCCTATATAGTAAGTTCGTCCTATCTTAGGATTTTTCAAAAATTAAGGCTGAAAATGAGCCTTTCGACCTATATACCCCATCGACCTATAATCCCGAAATTACGGTAGTGTGAGTGTGTTTTTTTTCCAATATGAAAATTCAGGGGGAAAATGAGTTTTGGTTAAATAGCTGGGCTAAATTGTATAATTTATAGTGTTTCTGTTGCGGAAACCTATGGTACACCATATGTATTTCAACCGTATATGCATACTGAAACCTTGCGTAAACTTCAAGTTTCAGCAAGTTTCAGTTGCGGAAACCTATGGTACACCATATGTATTCCAACCATATACGCATACTGAAACCTTGCGTAAACCTCAAGTTTCAGCAAGTTTCAGTTGCGGAAACCTATGGTATACCATATGTATTTCAACCATATACGCATACTGAAACCTTGCGTATACCTCAAGTTTCAGTTGCGGAAACTATTTGGATTCGTGGACACCTTTGGTTTCCGCACTGCGGAAACTTGATGAAACTTGAAGTTTCCGCACTGAAACTTTGCGGAAACTATTAGTAACCTTAAGTTTCCGCAGAGTTTCAGTAGAGTTTCAGCCATGCGGAAACTCTATTTTTCATCCAGTGACAGTTTTTATTACACAGATTTGCTTCCACTAGATGCCGTTTGTGGCTTTCATTTGTGTCTGCGGGGGGCATACCAGATATCGATCTTTAATGACCTTAAACTGACTATGATTTTAAAATTCTTGAATAATTATGACATTTAGATGGTATTCATGTTGCTTACAATTCTTTTGTTTTATCAATGCATCATTTTGCTAAATAATCTCTATGTTCAATGTGTCACTAAAATTCTACTATGCATTTCTTTTTTTTGAAGAGTATATGTATGTACATAGTCGTCGCAACACGCAAGTTTTACAGAAGCGGGACATCTCTACCGTTCACTACGTATCTTCAAACATTAAAGCGCGCGCATTGAAGTAGTGAACTTTTTGTTTGATTGGAAAGTTTGGGAGTTTTGTCGAACATGCGTTTACTTGTGTTAATTTAGACTGTTAGTTTGATTGACTTTTATATTTAGGAATTCACCGTTCGTTTTTTTTTTCATTCTTCATTCTAAAGAAATATGACAACCAACGTTCAAAAGAAAGCTCAAAATGTTTCATTCAAAAGGAGAATTTTACTGCTTCGTTGCGCTTAATTGTACTTAAGGAATGAAATTATATATGTATAATCAAACATGTTAATTGTCGCATAATGGGGGTATTTTAAAAAAAAAAAATAGCGTTCTAAAGAAATGGGCCTGAAATTGTGTAACGATTGACATTCGTTAGGAAAGATTCAAATTGTTCATTCAAACGAAATCGAAAATTTTACCACTTCAGTGAGCCTTTTTGTACCTTATTTCCACTTCACTGCTCATCATTGTACCTGACATCATGAAAGCTAGACTTCTCAGGGGATAATATACATTTTATGACTGAGTTCGACGGCAACGTGCGTTTTGTGGGACCCCAATAACCAAACTGGTTGCCCGAGGCCGTTAAGCTGAAAGCAGACAGATTGGTTCGAGGGTCCACAAAACGCATTTTGCCCGAGAACACAGTCAATAAATGTTTTGTTATACCTTTTATTTTTAATGTTTTTTGACACACATGTATGTTGTACAGTCTTCCGTGATGTAAACATCAGGTCCGTCACTGTTTGAACTTTAAGTAAATTCAATGTATAAAGTTATCTTTAATAACTCAAAATACGAATAATATGAAGTGGATTTACTTCAAAAGAACTGTACTTAACAGATTTTACATCAACAAAATAAAGAAATCTTTTAATAAAAAATATCGAAAAAATATATTCATAAAAAATTCTACAGCAAAACGTCTGCATTAATAAAATTATTATTTTCAATATCGATCGAGAAATATCTCCGCCAAACAACAATTATGATTGATATACCTTAAAAAAAGTTTTCCTATACAAATCTATACCAAAATTCTAACATTTCTAATGTTTTGCTGAGCGGGCATAAATAAATCGATGTTTGACCGCTAAGTGAGATGTTGGACCGCTTACATCACACAATGGGCGGAGCTAAATCTCATTGGTGATAGTGATTTGTATATTTTGAATGGAGGTATGAGACAGTACAACATACATGTGTGTCTAAAAACTATTAAAATAAAAGGTATAACAAAACATTTATTGGATGCGTTTTGTGGACCCTCGAACCAATCTACACAGGTCTGCTTTTCGACCTCAGGCAAACAGTTTGGTTATTGGGTCCCACAAAACGCACGTTGCCCTCGAACTCAGTCAATAAATGTATATATACTCTGAGAAGTCTAGCTTTCGTGATGTCAGGTACAATTTTTTTCAGTATTTTTTATTTAAAAATTTCTTTATTTTGTTAATGTAAAATCTGTTCAGTACAGTTCTTTTGAAGTAAATTCACTTCGTATTACTAGTATTCGTATTTTGATCTATTAAAGATAACTTTTTACATTGAAATTACTTGATTACATGACTTTGGTCTTCAATTATACGTTATCAAGCTCGCCGGGCTGCATAATTTAGAAATAAATATATGACAACACATGGCCGTTTCTTTTATGAAAGCTTGCAATCCATGTAATCTCCCATAGTATAGAAATTAACATTATGGAAATGAATATTATGGCAACCTTTCTATCCTTTCTTATTTGCACTGAGTGAAAAATAAGTATTTGTTCATCAGTCGGATTCTGGAAGCACGTGTGGTGGCTTAATTCTATTCTGTATGAATTCAAACTATACTATTTATATCCATGCACTGCTTGCTTAACCTGAATGCTTTCTTTAACTTATCCATTTCCTGATTTCATCTTAGTTCTAATCTGATTGCACCCCTCTACTGCCCATCTAGTACGCCCCGGGGTAGAGGAGTTAATTACATAGTTAGATACTCAGGTCGAACAATATTTTTGATGTTTGAGGAAACAGCTTTTGATGACCCACTGTCAATGACCTTTTGGTGACACTTTAAAATTGGAGGATGTTCACAGTCAATATTACTTATAGAACTTAACGTTCTCTAAAGGGAATGTAAACAAACTTTACCCGGGATATTCACTCGGGTGTAAAAACTATAGATATTATTGACTGAATAAGGAATTTTGAATGTTTGCATGAGTGGGAATAGACTGTTTAAAGGCTCTTAAACATCAAAAGTTGAAAATGTGGTCAAGGAACATCATAGTATTCTTTGCTTTAATTTATGGTAAGCGATTTTAAATAAAGTGATTTTATTAATTTCTAAATCGAAATTGGCCAGATTGCTTCTTGATTAGTTACTTGTAATTGCAATTCAAAGCAATAATTGACAAAAAAAATTATACATTTTAAATATATCAAGATACTTGAAAATTGTGTTTGTTTTGGAAGTGCTATTCTTCAATTGATACTTAATAGGCGTAAGCTCCGAGGACTGGACAAGAATCGCCAAAAATGAACTTGCCAACGCCCTCAAAATTAAACCTAACACGGGATTTGCAAAAAATGTCATCATTTTTATTGGAGATGGACTTGGTATCTCCACAATTAATGCTGCCCGGATTTATAAAGGACAGAAACAGGGAAACCCGGGGGAAGAGACCGTTCTAGAGTGGGAAAAATTCCCAAACGCCGCCTTCTCCAAGGTAGGATGCACTAGAATGCTGTATATTTGCTTATGTGCATTTTTAAATCACTGTTTCAACATCTAGAGAGTAGAAACTTGGTTATGCACATGAGCAAGATAATAAAACATGTAGGTTGAATGCACTTGGGCTGTTCCAATTTTGCAATTCATTATGAAATGCTTTAAATAGACTTTGTATGCAGAATAGAAATTCCACTTAAACCCTTATATACAAACAAATAAGTTTTCAAAACATGTACAAAATGTGTGGGGTTTTTTTTAAACATATCGAATTTCAATACCTTTTTAATAGATGTGCTGCCATTACAGAGTAATATTAGTTAGATGATACATGAAAAATTCCTCTCTCTCTCTCAAAAAAATTGATGCTTGTATCATTAAATTTTCGGGGTCCCCTTTATAGTCCGATATTTTTTTTTCTCTTTCTTAAAATTTTTCATAGATAGGCTGCAAAGAATAATGCTTTAATAATATAAAGTTTGGAGTAAAGCAAACACGGACTTTTTAAACATCAGAGGTGAGATCAGGTGCCATGGAGGAGTGAGCGTCCCCTGCCGACAGGTCACAACCGCCGTCTGCTCCTTGTCTTGATCAGAAAATAACAGAAAAAATCTGTCGACAATTTAGAGAGTAAAATATATGACAATGTAATGGCCAAACAAACATTATGAAAAAAGTCAGTCAGCAATTTACTTAAAACGATAGATTGTATTTGTTGACAAGGTCATTGTACCGACCATAGAACTTCCGAAATGATGACTTGAGACTACTGATATTCTTGTTCCATCATGCTTTATGTTTATTAATTACATGTAAGAACAATTTATTAAAGAAGAATAAAAAAGTATTTTGATATTTTGTAGATATATGGATCTGATAAACAGGTTCCAGATTCAGCTCAAACGGCAACGGCTATTTTAGGAGGAGTCAAGGTCAATTATAAGACGGTTGGGGTCACGGACAGTATCAAAGGTCAAGACTGTGCGAAATTGGTAGAACTAGGGGATGCTGCCAAAGTAAAATCTGTTATAAGAAAGGCCCAGAATGATGGTGAGTGCAGAGCTATCTGGTGTAACGTAACAATACGGAGAGAAAAAAATTGGTAAACAAACACTCCATCTCATTTCTTCGGAAGATTTCAATGCTAATTCAACTTAGCTTTTGGAATTTATACAGAATACAGATAAGGTAGCTTCTATATCAAGTGAACATACTGTAATTAAGAGAGGTAAAAGACACAGATTATGCTTCTGTAGATGTAGTCAAAGAAGTATGCATTTACCTTATATTGTACTATATTGTGAAGACCCTACGTTGTTTGGCAGGTAAATCTACCGGAGTCGTGACCACGGCGCGGCTCACACACGCTACTCCGGCCTCCACCTACGCACACTCGGCCCACCGGAACTGGGAGTCGGATGCCGACCTCACCCCGGAGGCGAATGGAGTATGCCGAGACATCGCCCACCAACTAGTGCACAGTAATAACGACATTCAGGTACCCTGTTCTAAAGTGCACCATACCATACATGCTCTTGAAAGCGACTTATCGATGTCGGATATTCCTTTAGTATTAAGCTGTTGAGAACGATTATGACGATTTCTGTTTCATACAACATTTATATATTCATATTTTTTAATCCCATAGTATAAAGATACATATGTGTTAAAAAACATTACCGAATCAAGTGTCTGTGCAGTAGACATATACTTTTGAAAAATATTTCCAAATTATTTGACATTTAATAAACCTATGATGTACATTATATATCATTAGTATTTGACCAAAATCTTATTTTTTAGACTGACTTTACAACGCATATCAAATTTTTGGCTCCGTGATTGGGAGGTCGTGAGTTCGTATCTCGGCCGCGACTGACCTAAGTCGATAAAAAATGGGTAGCAGCTGTTCCTTCGCCATGTGCTCGGCACTTTGAAGTGAAAGTTACGGGTCCTTCGGATGAGACCTTAAAAACCGAGGCCCCGTGTCAGGGGCAGGCGCTGGCACGATAAAGATCCCTCACTGCTCAATGGCCCTGAGTGCCGAGTAAAGGTCAAAATTTGAAGCCCTTCACCGGCATACGGTGACGTCTCCATATGAGTGAAAAATTCTCGAGAGGGACGTTAAACAATATACAATATACAATCAAAGAACTAATTGTGTAGTTTTTAAATGCGAATTCAAGGTAGACAATATCTAAATTATAGTTAATAAATAATTAAAGGTGTTTCTTGGAGGAGGGCGGAGAGCTTTTTATCCCAAAAACTTTTCTGACCCGGAAACGGGGGCGACAGATGTGAATAAAAGACTAGATAACAGGGACTTGGTTGAAGAATGGAAAACGATACAGACTGCAAAAAACCGGAAGCATAAATATGTCTGGAAGAAAGACGATTTCGATAGCATTGACGAGAACAATGTTGATTATGTGTTGGGTAAAGGATTTAATTTGTTTCTGATAAAAGAGTAACAAGATGACAGATAGTCACAACGTGTCAATATTTAAATGATGCCATATAATTTAGTTTCACTGTTTTTAATTGTCTTGATGCACCTGTACATTGTCATATATTAAAGGATTGTTCAGTCCATCGCATATGGCCTACGAAACTGAGCGGAGTAATTCTGGAAATGGAGAGCCTTCTTTAACGGAAATGACATCAAAAGCCATTAAAATTCTTCAGAAAAATGAAGATGGGTTCGTTTTGCTTGTTGAAGGTGACATATTTTTATTTGCCGATTTGTTGTCAGAAATTTTAAGCATAGTCAATCTGTAAATTATGGATTACACTGTTTTAATTTTTTTTCGAATTGTTCTTGTATAGGCGCCAAAATAGATATAGCTCACCACGACAGTCTAGCAAAGATTGCGTTAGAAGACACTCTAGAGTTCGAGAGAGCAGTGAAAGAAGCTGTATCTTTGACCAATCATCAGGAAACTCTTATCATTGTAACTGCAGACCACTCTCATGCCTTTTCATTGGCTGGTTACACTAAACGAGGAAATGATGTCTTAGGTCTAAAAATTTTCAGTTTTAATTTTAATCTTTCAAAAATTGAAGCAAAAAACATAAAATTGCAATATTTTATGCTAAAGTCTTCCTTAATAAATCGTGTGTTTTGTAGGCTTGGTGGATGACGAAGCTGTCGAGATAGAACCTCCTTTGGACAAGAAACCTTACACAGCTCTCGTTTATGGCAACGGCCCTGGCTGGAGGGCAGACAGACAAAACCTGACAGGAGTCGCTACAGGTATGATAAGATAACTGAAACTTTTATAAAAGGGGCACTGCAAAGCGGAGCATCCCCTCGCAAGAAGCATTTCAATAAATTTAGGCAGCATTCGATCATCGATCCCGGTGCAAATCGCGTCACTTCCGTTTCGCACAATTAAGGACAAACTATCACACACACAAACTAACACATACAAGCGCTGTACTATATCCCTCCAACTCCGTGGCGGGGTAATAATAAAGGCCATGGTACTAATCAAATCTTTACCAAACTTAGAATCCTGCTGATTTTTTCCCTTTCTTGTTTCAGATGCTAATGACTACATCCAGCAGTCTGCTGTACCGCTGGAATACGAGACTCACAGCGCAGAGGATGTCGGGATATTTGCTCAAGGTCCAATGTCTCATCTCCTTCATGGCGTTCATGAGCAGCACTACATTGCCCACGTGATCCAGTATGCTGCGTGTATTGGTGACTATAGAGACAATTGTGATAAGGAGTCCAGGCTCACTAGTGGTTCTGAATCCTTGGTCCCTGCTTTGTTTCTTTTGTATCTTTCAACTTGTATTCAGATGTTCTTTTAACATGTTAATCAGCTAAAAGACTGATTTACACCATTCATATATTATAAACATTACTTAAGTTCATCTAAAGTAAACCATACGCTCTTGGCATTTTACAAATTTGTATGATAAACAAAAGAAGGTGAATGAACAAGGCATACACATGAACAATGCCTATAGCGTCAGATATAACAAATTGTATTGAATTTGTTAATTCAGGATTACAAATTCGCATTATTTGGAATTTATGCAATCATAATAAACAAAACTTCTCTGAAAAAATCTCGGGAAAAACATTCTTTTATTTTAAAAAATGGTATTAGTGAGATTCGATCTCCAAAAAACATATTGCACTAACCACTACGCTACACAGCTTTTGATACGAACCACAACTCGTGTGGTATTCAATCATGTTTGTGATGTGACCTTTAACTTTATGGATCAATTGTTTCTCGGAAAGATGCAAATGTTTCGTCATAAAAGTGTACGATTAGTGGGTCCTTGCTCTATGTTTTTGTTAACCAAGAAATCTATATTTTCAAGCAAACTTTTAGGATTTATCTAAAAAAAAATCAAAGGCCTGACGGCCTGAGAGGCGCATCGCATTGAGGGTATAAAACTTTTTTTTTCTTGGAGAAATTCAACATCAATGTTAAGGGAATGAAATAATCCAGGAATAAGAATTTAAAATAACTAACGTTTCTTTGAGGTTAAAAAAAACTGAGCCATGGCTCTGAATTTTAGCCAATCGATCAGGAGAGGAAAAACATTTTTTTTAAAAAGATATATCGGTTATAATTCATTGATAATTAAATTGAATCATAATTGATTTTAATTGTATTTTAATTCTTTTTTAATTTTTATTCTTTGACTATTAGGAAGATGAAATAATGAATGTCAATATAGAAATTACTAGCAATGATTATTGAATAATATTATATAATTTGATATCTGAATTATTTCAGTTTCTTTCATTGTGTGCACTCTTATAAATATCACTTCCTTGTTTTTAACTTTTTCCCAATATAAATGGCACAATATATAACAAATGTTATATACATGAAATGTTCATGTAAATTATATACGGGACTAAAATAAATGATCGGGCGTGGTATACGGTTTATTATGAACCCGATACAAAACCGAGTAATTCATAGTACGAGCTGTTGTTATGCAAATAGATCTTACTCCGCGCAGTGCACGTTTGTTGTTGTTTTCTCTTGTTTATTTTCTCATTTTTCGTTACCACTGTTGATTCAAAGTTAAAACAACATGTTTGTGTGAGATTTTGTGTTATTAGCTGTTTAAAATTAACAATGGATATCGCCAACTTGTCAATGTACATTAGCACTATTTGTCATCTCCCTCGGGAGATGACACATTAAGATTGTATGCCGGAAGTGAAGTCCTAGTGTAAGCCTCCATTAATTCTTCGGGAATCCTCGATGTTTTTAGTCTCGTTCAACCAGACGCTCGGCTGTCTCCGTGAACTCCAACCAGCAGAGAGTCTGGTAAAGATTCACGTAAGCGTTTGTAACCGTCAGAGGGCGCTAGCTTGTTTTCATTTTAAAAATCCTTTTTGTAAGCAATCGTTATATACGATTCTTCTGCTTGATTGTGACTTTATATTAATAAACTGGTCTTTAATTAAGGATACCAAACGAGAAATTACAATATCAATCGAAAGAATGTGTATTACACAGGTAAGGCTACACTACTTTCACTTTTGCTTTCATACAGACTATTTGCAAGACATAATAAAACACACTTACCTATAGCTGGTGGGCATTACCGTAAACAATTCCTATCTAACGGTTTTAACTTTTAGAAACATAACTTTTACATCTTTAACTTATTTTTCTGCCGATTTATCACGTATTTGTTTAAATCTTGTAGGTGTGTTCTTTTCAGCCAATCAAAAACTTTACCAGAATTTCGGTAAGCCTCGCTTTGGCGTTACAATCGATATCACGTATCTTTACCAGACCCTCTGGGTGGTCGGAGATTTACGGAGACAGCCGAGGGTCTGGTTGAACGAGACTACGATGTTTTACAATATCTCAAGTGAGAATCTACACAAGGAGTTCCAAGTAGCCTGTAAACTGGTTTTCTTTTAGAAGAACTAGCATAGAAGTGTGATATCTACTTTCGGTTTAGGCCTATTTGAAAGCCAAGGAAAATTTAGAAAAGCAGTACGATGCTTATTGTCATCTCTTACGAGAGATGACACATTAAGTTCGATTTCCTGATGTGAAGTCCCAGTGTAAGCAGCTATTTTTCAGTCTGCAATCCTCGGCTGACTCCGCTACGCTATATACATTCAAAAAGTGCGATGCCACCCGAAAATCACCGACTGCTCAGTTTATGATGCGATTTTCTAAATATAGAGATGTAAACAACGAGCGATCTGCCTTATTATTGATAAAGAAAACAAGCTGCAAAGAAATATATATAATAATTGGGTTTTTCAAAATATACACTGTATGTTCTTAAATGTAAAGTCTTCTTGGCTGTTACCTAAATGATGGCCAGAACTCGATAGAATCTTCTAACTAGGTCAGCGCGTGTGTAAAGATCCTCTGCAGCGGAGTCGTGGATCCAAGAATTCACAGAAAAACAACATCAAATAAGTAATCGCATTACTGACTAATAGGAATTGATGGTGAAAACTTCAATTTTTTGGTACATTAGTCATTCTATAACGCGGTGTCATTTTTAAAAAAATAATAATACAAGTCTGATTATAAAATCAAATGCATTGAGAAATTAAAAGCACAACTTATAAGCGGATACATTTATGGCTATAAAAAAACTACAGACATTGAATGAAAGATCACAAAGAATGATTATGAGTATTTTCTTGCATGTATTATCTATTCTTTTTAAGGATTTATCATGATTAAAGAACTTGCAATCATTTTCTTTATGCAGTTTTAATTGCATAAATGTCAAAAACATCTTTAATTCACTCCTCCTATATTATTGAAATGAAGACCAAATTATAATACATTTATAATAGTTTATATGTTTAGTATGCAGATAAAGTTAAAACACACAAAAAAATATACGCACTGCACGTGAATTTGGACGGTGACTAATGGCACAATACCGACTATTCCGAAAACAGCCGTAAGTTCAGGGTTGGCAAATGAGAACTTTTCTCTGATAATTTGTAAATGCTTGATTTTAGCTGATAGCATTTCAATGTTATTTCTTCCTTATGCTTAAAAGCATGTGAACGTTGGGTAGGGGCCCAAAGCCACACAAAAAATGATTTAATTAAATATTATGTATATTTTGGACAAAAAAAATGATGTAAGTTTAGTTTATCTCCCCCTTTAAAACCAAAGGGGTTTGACGACCATATCACTTTAAGGAATGGGAATTTAGTTAACTTGAAATCTTTGGAAAGTTTTGGAGTTGATTAAGTTAGCGCTTCTGTCCGCTGTCAGAGTACATAGAGTAAGAAGCTGCGAAATACATGCAATATGTAACGTCAAAAGGAAGGCTAAGATTTTACCCGAGTAATTCTTGTGATTTTTTTTATGCAAATTTTACAAATACTGCGTAGCGGGACATAAACATTTTTTTTTACATTAAAAAATGTAAAATTCAATTATAGCATGGCTTACTGGGCAAAATTGCACAAAAAACTCTTCCATTTTGGGCACTTTTGTCATAAAGAGTTATCTCTATTATGGATTAAGCTTACTTTGTGAAAGTGCTAGGCTATATATCAATTAAACTTGTCTCAAAGTTTGTAGTTTTGATAATTTACAGATAAAAGAGACTTTGAAACATTATTTTAGTATATTTCATGCAGTGTAAAATGCTATAGCAACATATAAATCGTGATATTATTTAAACAATTTTAGAAAATCAGATCTACAAATCTGTGTACCAGTTCTTTTAACTTTTTACTGCTGTAATTGTTCAATGCCAGCCCCTCCCTTATCCACACTTATTGTTCGAGTATAGTCATGTACTTAACAAAATGAATTTGTTTTTCGAAAAAAAAAAAATCAAAATATTCCCTTCTCATCCACAGCATAAGATTTTGATCACTGTCCTTTTTCCTAATCTAAAATTGTTCAGGTAAGCTGCCACCCCCCTTCCCCAGAAGAATAGAAAAATTTGAAATAGTTGAGAAAAAATTACACTTTACTGTTTATTCTGTGACATTGATGAAGCCAAAGAGATGACATTTCAAGCTTTCTGGAAAGCCAAACTTGTTTTAATAACGTGTTAAGAATCAATATTGTTGAGTATTTTGCCGCCGCAGTTTAGATAAGAAGGAATTGCCAGGTGATCGCAATGAGGCTGCATCGAAAACGATGCGCCTCAAAAATTAGCGAAAACTCATTTATATCGAGAAATTTTGTTTACTAGTATGTATGAGAAAAATATTTCTTTTTGTCCTCTCTATGTATGATAGTTCATAGGCAAATGATTTCAGTATTTGTGAGATTTTTGAAAAATGTAGAGGTATTAAATAAATTATACTTTAATGTTAGATAAAATATCAAAGAAAATTTTAATTAATTTTTATATAATTGATTTAGATTTCATTTTTCACTTAATGTTCGTCGCAATAAAGGCATTTCGCCCGTCTTGTTCACCCATCTTTATTCTGGATATTTTAATTCTGAGAAGTTAGAAATATTAAACTCTATTGGTAGATTCTTTATAAAGACATCACATGCCATAAATTAAATTTCATGCATTTAAACTGTATCATGATGAATAATATAGAAGTATAGTACATGTGTGAATGTACTTTGTACATGTATACGTGTATGTCTGATATATATATGTACATACGTATATGCATTTAGATAAAGTGTAGATTTACATCCTCATAATTTTGCTCAGAACTATCTGCTTTATTTAATTTTTTCTTTGAATCATGCAACCCTTTCTCTCTTGTGTGCATGCATATTGCATTGTATATATATATATATATATATATATAAATATGTATTTAAAATTTAATTTCTTTTTGCCCCTTGAGGGCGCTTGATATTAATGAATAATTATATATGAAAATAAATGTATATACTTTTTGTCTTCCTATCTTTCTTTAATGCCCAGGAGCACAGAAAAAGATTTTCAAAGAAATTATGCATTTTCACTATATAATCTATTTAGCCCCACCCTAGCACTAGAACCCCTGACCCCGGGGCCATGAATTTCACAATTTTGGTACAGGCAGCCTTATTCAACATAACTACGTACTTGGTTAGTTTATTTAATGCCCAGGAGCATAGAAGATTTTCAAAGAATAATGCATTTTCACTATATAAATCTATTTAGCCCTGCCCTAGCACTAGGAACCCTGATCCCGGGGCCATGAATTTCACAATTTTGGTAGAAGATTCAAT